TTACGTTATTGCGATTGGAGATTAAAAAAATTGAGATGGAATAACAAATCGTTCTCATGAAAATAACTGATTTTTTCATTAAAACAAAAAAAATGTTGCATTTTATTAAATGGATTGTAACAATAAGTATAATTACGGCTTTTCTTCCACTATTTTTAACTCAGTTTGAAGCTTCAAATGCGATATAATTTTGGCTTGGACCATCTAAGCTGACTGACATCAACTTGCTATAATTTCTGTTTACATTACATCGCAATTCGATGACACTCTGGCTCAGACACCAGAATGTTTTGATTCTATGATTTTTAGCATTCGTTTAGGATTTTCAAACAACCTGGTCTCTTTTAAAATACTTTTAATTTGTTCTTACGTGGTTCTCCAGATGTAGTGACTACAACATTAAAGTTTAAAGAAGAAAATTCTAACATTTAAACCGACTAAACAATAACATAGTAAACTTGCATAATTAAACAGCAACTAAAAATGATAGGTTTTACTAAATCTTTTCCTGTGCAATTATTACTAGCATTGGAGACAAGGATAATAGTTTGTTTGAAAGAGAAAAGAACAGGCTTTGAAGTAAACCTAAAAGCGTTTAACTAGAAATAGTATTTCGAAAGTTATTAAGCACAAAAGATGAATTGCGTTTATTTTGATACACCCTGTATATATATATATATATATATATATATATATATATATATATATATATATATATATATATATATATATATATATACTGTTTATTTATTTATACACTAATACACTTGTCCAGACTTTATATTCCTGTTCAAGTTTGAAGATAAAAGTTTGAAAATAAAAGTTTGGAAATAAAAGTTTGAAAATAAAAGTTTGAAAATGAAAGTTTGAAAATAAAAGTTTGGAAATAAGAGTTTGAAAATAAAAGTTTGAAAATAAAAGTTTGAAGTTTGTTCGTCGGCAGGAAGAAAGCCCGCGAATACCGCCTACTACGCAGGCTAATATTTACATTTCAAAAACTCATTACAGTAATAATTCGTAAGGAAAATACAAAGAAACTATCATATAAATTTAAACGTGTGATATCTTTTCATGTGATAGAGATTTCCTTTGATTTACAAAAATTTTAACTTTGTTTTTCTCGACTTACACAACGTATTTTTGAAAATTACTTCGCCCGGACCTTACTAACGTTTTTGAAGCAATTTAAAACAATGCCGATATGTGCTTTATCACACCTAAAGATATTCGGCTTCGCCTCCTATTTTATATCTGATAAAAAACTGCTGCTCATGTATTAAATAGTACTAAAAACTCATTTTACATAAACTTCAAGTTTAATTTTCTCACCAAATATCATTCATTGGATATTTAAAATTGTTGAAGAACACGAATGTTCTCATCGAGGCGTTTCACAAGTCATATGAAGCATCGCGTCCATGACCATGTTGTCCCAGACATACAACGTATACCTCTTGTCTTTGGCTCGAGTTTGTATATTTAACGCAACACGGCCGCTCATGCTTTATCTAGACTCTAGTACATACAATTTACATCCGCAGTGCGTATTTTATCAGACTTAAAGATATTCGACTACGCCTATAGTACTTCAAACTTTTAAAGATCATGTCCAGGGCCGCCCAGACGTTGGCGGGGGCCCGGGGCAATTATTTTTTAAGGGGCCCCTATCTAAAAAAATTTTCCCGGAAAAATTTTTTTCCCGATCACAACCTCCCCCCCCACCCCCCCGTCGCCAAAAAATTTTCGGTCAGTGTACCATTTTAGGGGTAAAAAAATTTTTCCGGAGTACAAAATTTTGCCGGACGAGTACGTTGCAAATCCTTTCGAGGGACTTTATCTCATTTTTTTATGCCAAAATTCGGTACTGAGCCCATAGAAAACAGATATCTTGTCCTTTGCGCGGAAATATTTAACACACAAAAAAGGCTGGGGCCCTACAAAAAATTTTCAGGGGCCCCCAGCAACTCGGAGCCCGGGGAAATTTGCCCCCTTTGCCCCTGGGCGGCCCTATTACAACCCGCACGAAAAAAATCACAGCGTGAACCGCACTAATACAGTGCGGATCACGCTGTGATTTTAGGCCTCGCCAACACTTTGCCTGCAACTGCAGAACACCATAGACTGTCATCAATCAAGGAAAACTGATGTGAGGGAGAAGTTGAATATTATTTTTAATGCCTAACGCAATGATATATGATTACAAGCTTGTTCACAAGGGGGCCAAATATTATAAAATTGATTCAACTAAAATAGCTCGCAGAATAAAACACAGGTGTACCCCTTTGCGATTGTCAAACGATATGTGAAGTAGCTAGCTCTACTGTATTTTATAACGTACTCGGCTCTTAAAATGTGGCTCTTAGACGATTGCAGCTTATCGAAGGTATAGGTCACCAGCAAAGTTTGCGCATAAAATCACACTCAGATGGAACATAAATTAAATATAATGATGTCATGCACTCCTTAAGTCTTTACGTTTTCATAAATCTATCATGTAGTAGCTATAGTGACTGCTGTGTCCTGCGTGTGACTGATTTAGTTTGAATTGCATGATATTTTAGACAACACGAAATAATTGAGAAAACATATACATAGGCTACATGTCATACACACATACATACATAACATATCTCAAGTCAAAATATACCCTCTCAAGTCAGTAGACAGTATTCAGAGCTGAAAATGGCACATATATATTGCATGGGCATACTGTAGACTGTTTTGACCTGTGAAATTAATTCTATACCAATATGTTCTCATTTTAATCAGTCATTTGAGGACGCTCTATTAGCTTCCACTGGTTAAGAAAAGATGGCACATCTTCATAACCTGCCAGCAAAATATGGCACATATTTCTGGCACAAGAGTTTTCACTAAGTAGAACCCACACGCGTATATTCTCTACAGATCCCACTGGTTAACAAAAGATGGCACATCTTCATAACCTGCCAGCAAAATATGGCACATATTTCTGGCACAAGAGCTTCTATACTGAGAGAATATATGCGCATAAAAAACACGAGTCATAAATATACGGTAATAACAATATGTCAAAAGATCGTTTTACCTATATACATATTGTTTTTATTCCAAGGTCTAGCACAATACATGCATGCCATACATGCAATATAAAAACCAATTTGTTAGCCGAGAATGGTGAATATAGCTCACTTATAGTTATACATGTAGCTATACATCAATACATCATCTATACACGTTGACTGAGTACGGCATATTGAGTACCATATTGGTGTCCTAGTAATAATTTTCTCGTTTATTTTTACATGCCCGGCTCCATACAACAAATACAAGCTTTTTAGTACAGCTCGATCATACCCTTAGGATCGGATCATATTTTTTGCACCACAGCCGGCACAGGATATATTTGCCCGTTACAATTTTAATACACGCACCTCCAATTTTATGTTTTATAAATCTACACATGTACTTATTTTCTTATAAGTTCACATTTATGCAAATAACAAGTAGTTGTTTATTATTTGTTATATATCCTTAGTTTCATCAAATACAGCATAGGCTGCTTTTAGAGTTTTCAAGTCCGAACATTGTGCCAACAACATGAGGCCATCACATTATCATATTTCACACTATACTTTTTGATCTAACATTTAGGGACTATTGCGGCGTTTCGTCCTTCATGGACTCGTCAGCAGGGATTTGGGATTGGTATATGTGTGAGAAGGACACAGAATACAGAAACCGATTTGGATTACAGAGTGAATAAACATAAAAATAGCAATACATACGTATGATTATTGTAAAATAAATGTAACTATATAAACTGTCTTACCAAATTTGCTGCTATTTTTTGTCAAACCAACTTACCAACACGTTACCGTTGGACCATGGTTGTAATTTCTCAGGACTGTTGTATAACTATAGCGCTTATATATATATATCAATTGCGATTGTACTAACTATGCGTTGGATATGTGTGAATGGCCTTGGCTAAGCAATTTTTTCCGTTAGAGCCACTGCTAAAATTCCGAACGTCGAGACGGCAACAACGTACGTCACTTCTTTGTCTTGTACCAGAATCCAATCAATTGAATGGTGCGAGATTTCCATCGCTGCCGTAAACATCTTCGAGCTTGAGTTTCGAACGTCTCCCGCCAATTTCTTGAACGCAATATTCTGTTCTTGGTTTCGATTCGGTTGGTAGCCATGCAAAGAGTCACTGAACGCGCACCAATTTGTCTTTGGATCAACATACAGTTACGTACAAATACTCGATGATATCGCTTCGTTGCAAACAAATCGAGTGTGATGTTAGTTTGGTCGTGCAATACACAAACGCACCATGTCTGAGCCATACTCGTTCGCGCAATTAAATTTAGCGCGCTATAGCGCATATGTAGCCTTTGCCATTGGTATCAGTGTTGACAGCTAACTTCACTATATTCATTTAATAATCGTTAGATTTTAACTATTTGCATTTTTAAATATTAATATTAGAGGTTAGAGAGGTATAGAATATCAAATCAGCTTGCTCATTAACGCAATTTGTACACATGCGTCTGTCAACAGAACCTACACCTGGCTCAGCCATGCTATGGTAACGAACACCTCCAGATTTAATTACTTCACACATCGTGCGGGTTGTAATGGATCATGTCAAGTCCGCGTAATGTAAACAACCCTTTGTTTATATTTTGAACTGCTATATTTGTAAAATATTAAGGACATATACTATTGAACCGAATATCTAACAGTTTTATGGTTCGCTATTGTAAATTGTAAATGAATATAAACTAGAGTATGTGGAGTAGAGTATAAACTAGTCTGGAGTGTAAACTAGAGTTCTGTGGGTCCCCTTCCGAGTTTAATATGCTTATGAGCAGAACTGATTAAACATTAAAAAAATCCAAATATATCAAAACAAAAAAAAATAAAAAAAATACAAAAATCAAAAAATACAAAAATAAAAAAATGCAAAAATAAAAAAATACAAAAATCAAAAAATCAAAAAATACAAAAATCAAAAAATACAAAAATCTAAAAATACGAAAACTGTTTCTGTGCTGTCGCGTCTGGGCTGCCGTAGTGCAATAAATAATGACAAAGTTATTATGACCTATTGTAGTTTCAAATGAATAAACGAACTAGTGAAGGAAGCTACACTGCACTTTTAACAATTGTGTCGTTACGTCGTGTCAGGGTTATGCACTTCAGTTACTTATTGTAGTCTGGATTAGTATCTCAACACTTATGACAAAACATATGATTTAAAAAAAATAAAACAACTGTAACTCCGTTGTTTTATATTTTATTTTAATTTAAAACTCCTTGTCGACAGACGGTATTGCATTACATAATACGAGACAATGTTTCTAATGTAAATATCTCGGCGAGTATTTACCCCCCCCCCCCCATTTTAAACTAACACCACCATTGAAATTCTCACAAAATAACTTTTCGAACGTGTGGTCAAATGCGTCAAAAACATTACACAAACCGAAACAATCATATATTTACTCACCACTTGGGGAAACATTCTGCATTTCACATCAAGAAAAAGTTGAATATCTTCTAAACTTTTCATTACTTCTCATCGGATATATGAGTAAAGTACTCCTTGTTTTCAAGAGCTTGTGTGTAGAAAGTTTCGTTTGAATCCAGCGAGTAGAAATATTTATTTCGAATTTTTCAAAATCCGATATTTTCGCAGGCGCGTGTATTGCGCAATACTTGGCCAATGAGGAGCTCGTTTAGCCGGATGACGTCAAGCTCACGCGTAAGGTGCAACTTGACCTTTGGAATCAATCGCTGGCATTTTCAGAGTCACACGATACAAACGTCGCATTGTTTTGACGTTTTTAAATTTATTTCCGGTTGGAATTCAACTCACAATCGGACCAGGAATGGAAATACCGTGATATAGGCCGTGGGCTGTTGTGCAAAAAAGTGCCTAGAAAAGCAATTTCGTGGCACCCCCCTGGGAAATAGATTTTCTGTGGTTCAATTCATAGAACCATAGATGCTTAATTACCAGAAAAAGTTCCCAAGCAAAAAACTTGCCCAACACCGAGAAAATGGGTGATCAGTGATTATCCTCTATTAAATTGTATTACAGCAAGAAAATGTGAAATTTTGTATTCAATTACAACAACTAGGGATCCAAGGATAGTGTGAAGTTTCGAATTGAGAAAGACACTGCAAGAACTATATATGGTCGCCGGCAACCTAGAAAAGCTGATGGCTTACACTACGAAATAAACAGTTACCAAAGGCATTTCATCTCATTTATTGCTTTTAATACGCTCGGCACACGATTAGCGTGACGTTTGAAACAAGCCTAACACACCAGAAACGTGACTTGTGAAACTGATGCAATTTATCTATTTATTGTGATGCTACACGATGCTACACGAGACAATTCAAAATTTAAATGGTTTCACCAACAACCAAATTTTGCATATTCTAAATTTTCATTT